TCTCCAAATTTAGTTTTCTCAAATTCATAAAACATCGATGAAATAGCAATCACTCCAAACCTCATAGTCTAAATGATTGTGTTTCTTCCATTCAGCTGAATAGGGCTTTTTGAAAAACGTGAATGTTTGTCCTACTTGAAAATGCTAAAACCTATGTAGTATTCCTTTTAAAAGCTCACTCATTCTCAGATTGAGATGAAGATTTTCTGTTTGTTAAAATGGTAAAATAGTAAAGATAATGCCAATATCATATGAATTTCTGATATAATAGCTTAAAAGGAATTATTATTTTTGTGATTAAGTCACAATAAATACTTATTTATTAATAAATTTATTATTTATTAATAAAATATTAGAACACTTTGAATTTAAATAAGACAGATTCAATGCTGGGACTGTTGATTCACTCTCTCCTTGGGCCATCTTCCACAAGAAGAACTAAAACAAAAACTTTACCATTAACAAGGTATCATTCAAATTCACAAAATTAGGTAACTATAAAAGGAAGTTTAATAACCTCTCAAATTATGTTTTTCAAGTTTTGTTTGTTTTTGATTTTGTGTAGCATTTATACCTTGTAAACTATTAAGGTTTAATCGTTCCTTAAGATTTTGGGACATCCTATAACTATACCTTTCACTGATACATCAATTTAAAAATGCAAATTAATAAAGATTTTAAAGTTTTTCTTCCTATTCACTTAACAAACATGGAATGAGTGACAGCCATTTGCAAACTGTGTTAGGAAATGCATGAGAAATTGTGTATTGACATTCTACACTCCGTGGTCATTTGGACAGCTGGCCATCCACAAAGCCCTGTGATCCCCAGCAAAAGAGTCAACATCTGGTGTGGAGTCAGCGTCAACATTAGAAAGACAGGAGAAGAAACTTGGGGACCTGGGTGATCCTGCAAGAAAACCACCGCCTCCATTCTTCTCAGCCTCCCCACCACAACCACCAGGACCAACTCTGCCGTGTCTGACTTCTCTCTTCCCTCATGGCTTATCCTCACTTCATGCTCCTGCTTAAAGAGACTGATCACTCTTTAAGTAAAACCATTTCTGCTCTACTTCTGTCACTTTCCTTCTTGTCCTACGTAGTATTTTTTCCGTAGTGCCATGTTCATCTTCATCAATTTGTTCATTGACTTTACTCGATATAGGCACACTAGAATGTAAGCTCCATGTTAGCAGGAAATTTGTCATTTGTTAATATTTCCTCAGCATTAGAACAGTGTATGATACTTAGTAAGTGCTTTGTAAATAATTGTTGGATGGATGAATGGATGGATGAAAGAATGAATGAATGAACACTCTTTCCAGAACCTCCCACTGAGATCCTCTTAATTGTTTCTCTGCCAGTTTCCAGTATCTCCTCACCTTTAAAAGTTTCATGTAATTTCTCTAGCTACGAACATCATTATTTTCAGTCAGATTAATATTCTACCCTGGCTGTCTTGCTTCACACTGCTTTTGGGAAACATTTGTCACAATTCTATTTGACCCAGTATTTTGGAAATATGGTTTAGGCATCCCTCCTCTAAAGTGCTTGGGATTTTTTGGGGTTATTTTGACTTTTCTTCCAGATTTGGGGTATTTGCATCTACATATTGATATATCTTGGGATTGGTACCCAAGTATAAACACAATTCATTTTTGCTTCAGATACCATATGCACATAGTATGAATGTAATTTTATAAAGTATTTTCAATGCATCTCAATTGCAATCCACCACATGACACATGAGATCAAGTGTGGAATTTTCCACTTGTGATATCCTGTCAGCCGTTAAAAAGTTTGGGATTGTGAAGCATATCAAATTCTGAATTTTGGGTTAGGGACACTCAACCTTCATACTCGTGGGGACCTACCACTCAAGTGTGATCTAACAAATATATGGGCATGGAATGAAATGTTGCTCAGTCACAGTGACTTCTTAAATGAACTGCATCTAAGAAGGAGGCATAGTATATAAATGAGTAAATACCAAAACTAAACAGCGTGTAGAATGGCCATAAATGAAGTTCGTGCCTTCAGTAAGTATACAGGTTTCTGCAGTGACAAGTCAAATGAGCAAGACAGAGACCTAAAAGAAAGGAAGAGAATTCCTGACTCTCAGGTGGGAATATTGGAATATCCATACAAGTGTTGTAGGATTGTAAATGACTGCACTGTTCTTAATGGCAATTTAGAAATCACTATGAAGGTTAAATGAATTCCTGCTCCTTCACAAGCATTTCAACTACTAGAAATTTGTTATATTAAAAACTTGCCTGTAACAACTAGAATCATTCAAATGTTCATAAATAGGTGGTTTAATTTTGAAATCACGTTGTCATATAATGGAGTAATGCAATCATTAAAATAAATAAATACAGAAATGTTTGTATTATATTGAATGCAATGAGAATTTTGCACATTAAACTGATATGATCTCACTATCATATTTACAACCACACTTCTGGATACTAAGGACAGCAATAAGCAGTACTCACACATACCTGCCCTCCTAGAAATTAAAGTCAGACTGGGAAACAGACAGCAAACATGTGAGGTTTTAATGCAGATAGAGCAGTGCTACGAAGAAAAATCATAGCAAGGAAATAAAGAGGGACGAGGATCAGAAAAATCCTAACTGAGGAGGTGACATTGGAGCAGAGTTTTGAATAAAGGGAGGGAGCAAGGCAAGATCAGAGGGACAGATAGTCACAAAAAGCACCCTGAAAATTCACGCTTGGGGTCTTCTAGGGAAATGCAAAGAAGAATGAGGAGCAATGGAGTGAGCAGCAGAAGGGGAAATCTGAGAAGTATTCAGGGACCATATTAGCTGGCATACTTTGTGAGCCAGGCTAACAATTTGGGATTTTCTTAATTTTGTGAGGCACCATCAGAAGATCTTGAGCAAGGGAGTGACAAATTCAGATTTGTGCCTTTTGAGAGTCACCATGGCTGTTAGGTAGAGAGTTTGGAGAAAGAAAAGAGTGGAAGAAGATCAGTTTGGTGACAGTGGCTTGAAGTAGACCTTGAGCACAGAGAAGAGGAAAAGTGGTCAGATCAGTGCTGCATTTTGAATGTGAAGCCAAGAGGCTTAGCTGCTGGATCTGGTGTGGGATGTGTTGGAAAGAGGAAGCAAGATTAATGACAAGGATTTAATGAGCAACTGAGGGAAGGAGCTGTTTCCTGAAGAAGAAGGTGTTTGGCAACAGTAATAATGGAGGTGGAGAATTCTGTTGGGGATGTGTTCATGTTAAAATATCTGTTAGATCTCTAAATGAAGCTAAAAGGCAATTGGATTAATGATTGATATTTAAGAGAAAGGTTAAAACTGGAGATGGCATATGTTTGGGGGTCCTTGAAGCCCAAGTTGGGGCCACTTATAAGGCAAGTATAGAAAAAAGTGAAAATGCCTAAGGGTCAAGTGCATAGGCCCCTTCTGTCTAAAAATTCTGAACTGGAGGGACTTCAGGCCCACGAGACTTAGGAGAACCAACCAGTGAAAAAGGAGGAAACACTTGTGTGACTCACAGGAGTAAAGTGAACATCATGTGTAGGTAGAAAGAAAAAGTAGCTCATAAGTTACTAGCCATCAGCCTCATCTGAGGGATGAAATTCTGGAGGATACTCGGTATTTTCTATTTCTGTGATGTTTGGTATTTTGTAAACAAAATCGTGATGAAAAAGTTAAGAATAATGAAAGATTAATAAACCTATTAAGAGGTTATGTAATTATGAACTTTAACTCTATTACATCTTTAATTAGGCAATTTACAAAAGGTTTGCAGTGACCAAAAGTGAGAGGAGGACCTAATATCTTTCAGAAGACATATCTAAGAGTGCACTATTTAAGTACCTGCATTTGCAGAGCAGTTGTGAGGAATGAAAAGTTTATGTGTGTGTATATGTAGTTATGTGTGTAAAGAATTTTTCATGTTATTAATGGGCATTAAATAATAATATGCAAAAAACCAGAAAGTAAACCAGAAATGCATACAGAACATGTGAATGGATGGAAAACAGCCTACCAGTTTGTCATTACCTAACGGAACTGATCATATGTGTAACCAAATGAAGGTTTTAAGAGTTTAATTTCCATGCTGTGAATAGAATGCTGGCTAGTGCATTCCACAGGGATTCAAGCAAGTTGCTCTGAACTGAGAGTTTATCAAAAACTGAAATGAGCCAGACATGGTGGCACACACCAGTAATCCCAGCTCTAGAGGGGGTGAGGTAGGATAACTGGGAGTTTGAGACCAGCCTGGGCTACATAGCAAGGACCAGGCCAGCCTAAGCTACATAGTGAGACCCTGTCTTAAAAAGAAAAAAAAAACTGAAGTGGAAATGGTCAACAATGCAATGGAACCTCACATTCCCAAACCACCAATCAGGAGTCGTGCAGCTGAATCAAAAGGTTCCAGTAATCATGTTGCCTCAAGTAAATATGTGTTCTACCTAATCAGATAACCTGTATGCCATCTCAGATAAGCTGTTGTCTGTTAAAGTGCTGTGAAAGTCATCAGGTAAAATGCCACTGTTTCTCTTTATGAGGATCACTTACACCTGATGGCACGAACTGTGGTTTTTTTAATGCTGGGAGTGTCACTTCTGCTTAAAGGAAGCCTTTCCTTTAGGTCTGTTCCCACACATTTGTAAAATTCCAAATTAGTAGAAATCTATCCTTCCTTAGAATAGTTCTTTGCAGAAATCCAAATTTTCATTTGTAGTTGTCAGCGACAGTAACACAATGAGTTCATTTTGGCTCACTGAGATTTGGGTAGACTCTGGAACTATGGCCGGATTGTACCTTCTGCCACTACCCCTCTTAGCCAAAGCACTTTGGCAAAGAGATTTAATTAAGCAGATTATCCTCTTAGACCATGACTTTTCTGATTAAAATTTTAATCATAATGAAAATTAACCACTGTATTTGCAGAACCAATTGATATTTGTAAGAAAACTGTCTAAGTAAAACTTAGGGTTTCTTTTACTATCTCCTGTTAGAGTCGGGCCACAAGAAATTAAAAAGTACCATACAAAGAAGCACAGAAACAGGAATGGCAGCCGAAATGAGGAAGATGGTAAGACAACCAAGTCGGGAGTCCACTGATGGCAGCATCAACAGTTACAGCTCTGAGGGAAAGTAAGTGACGTCAGCACATCTGCACAGCGCTAGGACCACGGAATTGTGTAGCAGTGAGCAAAATGCCAGAGGTCCAGGGGTTACTGTGTGCTTTTTTTTATGTAACCAGCCCGACCTCTTCTATTGCACCCATGGAAATACCCATGCACCTGGCTGTTCAAACTGGTCAAAGCTCAAAGTAGTCCTCCACTGAAGATACAGTATAGAAATGCAACATTTCATGGATTCTTTCATATGAGAAACTCATAATCTGATTGGGCCATGAAAATCTTGAATTAAAATTTAGAAATGAGAAACTCATTTCTGATTTTTCTACAGTTGTCCAAAACTTTTTTGGGCTCTTAAGTTGTTACAAACCTAACACACTCCTACATTTCTTATTTTAAAATTATCACTGAGTTTTACCTTAGGACGAAAAAACCCAGGATCTATTTACCTCATTATATTTGTAACCAAAGATTTTTAGTTCTGAAATTAATTAATTCTGAAAAAAACTAAATAGATTTTTTTGTTGGTTAATTCTTTTACTATTTTATATGGATCCTACAAAAAATCTGCATTTTCCTATGCGTAATAATTTTTCTGGACTGGGTGTGTGGCTCAAGTAGTATAGCACCTGCCTGGTAAGTGCAAGGCCTTAATTTCAACTCCTGGTACCACCAAAAAATTAAAAATAAAAAAAAAATTTCTGGTCAAATTGAACTTTTATTGAAGTAGTGCATCTTGTAAATAGTAATTCTTATGCTACAGGTTACAGAGAGTTTGACTATGCACAAATTTTTAATAATTATTCATCTAATACCATTTGAATCATCCAAAATTCTACCAAGATAATCTTCAAAATTTCTTTTCTTTTGGTGACATTTTATATACTGTTTAAAAATAGAATTATGCCAAGTTAATGTTTATGATATTCTTTCTCATTCCTGAATCTAGGTCCCTGCTTGTTTGATCAAATGTTTGCTAGGTATGGGCCCAGCAAGTATAGTTGAGGCAAAAATCAGCAGTTGCAAAAGTTAGTGAATAAACTTACTGAGCAGATACCAAGGTGTGATGAAGTAGTACAAAGCAATATGTAAATCAAATACTAGAAGTATTATTTTCTGATACAAAAAAAAAGAAACCCAACAAATCAAATAAAATTTATCCTTCCACGGATAAGCCACTTAAGCTTTTATATAGGTTATTTTCTTAGTTTCTGGATAGGATAGTAGTGTATACTACTTTGGTTGTGGGGAAATAATTTGTGAAAGCACACCAGAAACAGGCCATAAAAAATATGTCCACTCACAAAATACTTACCAAATGCCAGCCACATAACAAACACATTGCTGTTATCCAGAGACAATCATGCCAACAAAACAAAAGGAGCACATCACCTCTGTTTTGCAGGTCATATATCTGGGCTTCAGTCAATCATATTTTAGTAAGAAATAGTCATGTTCTAACCAGGTAACTTTCATTTGGACTAAATAAAAGCCTCCAATAAACATCTAATTCATTAAAAAATGAATCAATGAAATATAATCAAAAAATTATTAGCCTTTTTTGAAATTGCATTCATGTTACTTCATGTTTATAAGCAATTATTTATTAAAGTTATTAAAATTTTTATCTCACATTTTTCACCTAGATATGTTTACATAGTGATGTGGGATTTGGTTTTAAAAGTGTCCAGAATAGACTGGAATTGCTCAAGTGGCAGAGCACCACTTTGCAAGCATGAAGCCCTGAGATCAAACCCCAGTCTCACCAAAAAATAAAAAAGAAAACTGTACGTAAAAGTGTCCAGAATATGTACTAAAAATGACACCTGAGCCCTCCTGTATGGAATATCACATCATAAACTGAGATTATAGGCCTTTTCTCAGTCGGTGTTGTGTTTCACATGCTTGGTCCGCAGGCTATGCAAAGCATCAGTAAGTAAACAGATTGTCTAAGTAGAGTTCATGTTTCAAGATCAAAATTATTTAAAAGGAAGCAGCAAGAGAATTGCAGATCTATTGCTTAGGATGTGTGAGGCCCTGTGTTCAACTCCCAGCACTGCAAAAAGAAAAGAAGTTGTAGGAGATCTAATGTTTTATTTCTGGTTTTCACTCTTTCACTAATAGCTTGATATTTCCTGGAGTGCGACTGGGAGCCGACAGTCAGTTCAGTGATTTCCTTGATGGACTGGGGCCAGCCCAGCTTGTTGGCCGCCAGACTCTTGCCACCCCTGCGATGGGTAAGAATCACTTCTTTTTTTTTTTTTTTTTTTTTGACAGCAAAATAGAGGCTTCCTGGTTGGCAAAGCCATTTAAAATGGCAGAATAGTCATATAAGTGAGAAGCAACACTTTAGGGCATTGCTTGTTCTGATGACTGTTCTAGTTTCTAGCATATCTTTCCTATTTGAGACATTATGCTAAATAAGTGCCATTAGTTATAAGTCTTTGAATTACCACAAAACCCTGTCAAGGCAGAGAGACTACAGCAGATCCTAATATAGGCTAGATGGTAAGGTTTCACAGCATGGGAAAATAAAATGGACTGTGCTGAAAGGGATGTTGGCATAAGTGTTTAACTGTTTGTAAACAAATTGATGAAATGGTCTCCCACTAAACAACTCACAAAAAATACATATTATTTTAGACTCTGTATGAAAGGGAATATGAAGGAAGAAACTAAAAAATACTGGAAAACATTTAAGTTAGTGTTTCTGTAACCTTGGAGTGAGGAAGAACTTATAAAGGATCAAACCAAAGCCAGAAGAATTAAAAACTTCTAAGGTTGAACATCCCTAATTGAAAATCTGAAATCCCAGGTGACCTAAAATCTGAAACTTCACCATAGAAAACTCTATACCTGGCCTCATGTGACAGTTCACAGTCAAAACATGGACACAATAAAAATATTGTATGAATTACTTTTAAGCTATGTAAAGAAATACATATGAAACATAAATGAATTTTGTGATAAGACTTGGGTCTTATCACCAATATATCTTACTATATATTTACAAATATTTCAAAATCTAGATATATGTGAAAGCACTCTGACCTCAGGCACTTTGGATAAGGGACATTCAACCTGCTAACATACTATACCCTAGGTGAAGTTAAAAGAAAGAAAGATGGTAATGGATAAAATTGCATGTAGCATGTCCAAAAATTATTTCCATGGTCAACATGAGATTCTAGCCCAAAAGAACCCAGGGGAAATCTAGAAAAATGGGTGAAAATAAAGAGTTATTCATGGAATTTCACAATGCTAGGGATTGATAGAAAAAAGAAAAATCATACATGTTTCCTAAGAGAAAAATTAATTCTACACAAAACTATCAAAAACCAGATTCACACTGGGCATTTGGTGCACAGCTATAATTCCAGCACTTTGGACGCTGAGGCAGGAAGATCATGATTGGGCTCCATACTGAGTTCAAGGCCAGCCTCAACTGCAGAGGGAGACTGTCTTAAACAAACAAACAAAGTCAAATCACATTGGACTTTTTAGTAATAATACTGGACACTAGAAAGAAAGCATTACCTTCAAAATTCTGAGGAACAATTGATTTCCAATCTGGCATATAATCACCAGCCCATTTATCAAGTAAGTTTGAGGCTAGAATACATACTTGGATAATCAATGTCTAAAAAACATTTTCCTCATATCCAGCACTGCTCTGAAAGCTGTAGGAAGATTGCCTCAACAAAACAAATGGAATTTTAAAATTGTGAAACAGAATAGGAGGAAGATAAGATCTAATAAATAAATGCTTCCCCACAAGAGAGAGATGACTATGGGATATCCAGCATTATAGATAGAGCCAGGAGATCTGAAGATAACACCTAGAGCAATATTTGAATGCTATTTGTACAAATTGTAGCATGTCAAATTCCATAAGACAAATAGTGCAGGGGAGAGAGAGTAAGGGTTGGAATTAGTGATACATATATAAATATGTAACTAAATGCTTTTTCAAAAAGACACTAAATGTAAGGTAAAGGTAGATATGTCCAAAAGATGAGAAGTAACTCTAGTACTTCAGTTCACACAGCCCTGAGTAAGGTTACATCATCCCGAGAAATTGTCAGGTTTATAGTAGGGGTGGAACAATGAAAGAGATCAAAACAGGAAGTCAATAATAATCTAAAATCAAAAGGAGGAAATATTTTTTGTAAGTATGGTGTTTAGAAACAGTGAGGATAAAGCCAAAAAGTAAAATATAAATGAGGTAAAAATACTGAAGAATTTGAAAGCAGTAACTTTTGGAAGACAAGAAGTTGAGAGGGGTTGGGAATCAGTTATTAATTCTAATAACAAATTTAAGTCAGTTTCTAATAACAAATTTAAATCAGTGCACTTTAAACAGTGCACATGTGGTTAGCAAGAACTTTTTTCAATTACCAGAAAAAACAAGAGCCCTCTAGAAACTCAAGTGTAAAACAGAATCATGAAACTAGTGAGAAATCTATAAGAAAATATTCAACTTAGAAAAAACAGAATTCACATCTGAAAAGGTAACTCAGCTAACTGAAAACAACTTAGAAATAATTTAATTAGCACAACATAAAAAGGCAAAGAGGTTATTAAACAAAAACAAGTATATAATTTGAAGAAAATAGATTAGGAAATGAAAATTTTAACAATTAAACTTACAAGTTATTATTCCCTGCCTACATATTGCAGCAGGCAGCACAACATACTCATAAAACTCAATTGCTGAGCTGACAATAGAATCAATGAAGACATACACAGACCCACAGTGTTTGCCCACTACTGCCCTTCACTGAAAGATGCCATCAGCAAGAAAAATAACCTTAAAGGATGAAGCACAAGAAGCACTGATCTTAAGTGAAGTTACCAGGTTCAGATTGCCAAAAAACTGCATGCTTTCTCTCAAATGTGGACTATAGACCTAACACAAATACAGCAATATTATGAAAAACAGGTCATGCTAAGGGGAGGTCACTTACTAGAGAGGGGAGAGTAAAAGAAGGAACTTAAGAAGGTGAATATGATTGATGTACTTCCAATACAAGAGTGAATATAGAATTTTAAAACCTGTTGAAATCATCATAACAAGAGGACTAAGGTGGAAAGAAGAAAAACAGGAGATGAACCAATCTGGTTGATAACACACACACACACACACATATGGAAATGTCACACGGAAACTTGCTGTGTAGCTGTGTTAAACAAAAATGTCATTTTTTTCATTTTACAAAATGGGAGATCAGGAGGGTGGAACAAGTCCTATGGCGGGGGGGTTGGTACCAGTGGGATGGGAGAGGAGGTGAGGAAAGTGGGGAGGAGGGTGAATATGGTGCAGATTCTGTGTACATGTATGTAAATGGAAAAATGATACCTATTGAAAGTATTCCAGGAACAGGGGCAGAGGAGATAAAGGAGAATGATGGAGGGGGTGAATTCAACTGATATATTGTAAGAACTTTTGTAAATGCCACAGTGTACCCCCAGAACAATAATTAAAAAGAGAAGCAATGATGAGGAAACCTGGTAAATTTATAAAAGAAATTATTATTATTGTTATTTAGCCAAAACCAACAAAACAGGATTTTGCATGTACTTTTTTTTTTTAAATCTGGAAATAAATTGAAGCAAAATGCTAGTTAACATTGAGAAGCTAGTTAATATTGAGAAGCTAGTTAACACTGAGAAGCTAGTTAACATTGAGAAGCTGGTTAACATTGAGAAGCTGAGGAGATAGGAGATAAACAAAGATTATTTTCTAATTTGGGAGTAAATAAAACATTAGCTTACTTTAGATTTTGATGGAAAATGTAAAAACAAGATGTTAAATATTCAATGTCCTCTTTAATAATAGAAATAAAAATACTTAAACTCTACTGGTAAAGGAATAAAGTAAAAGTCTGATTATATAATAAAAGACAGGAGGGAAAAGAAGTAAAAGGAAAACATTTAAAAAATACAAATTAAAATGAACAAATAAGTCCATTTCTAGAATTAT